GAGTTACCCAAATTCCAGCCAGAAAATTTCACAGGACCGTACGTGGCAGCCACGCATTACGGTGGGGCTGAATTTGACAAATTTAAGTTGTAGATGAGTTGGAAACATTCCCTGAAAGTTTCAGTCTCCCAGCTTCCCTGGCTCCGGAGTTAGCCATTTTCCCGCCAAAAATTTTCACGAGGGCGTACATGGCAACTACGCATAACGGGGGCTGAATTTGATAAATTTAAGTTGATGATGAACTGGGAACATTCGCTGAAAGTTTCAGCCCTCCAGCTTTCTTGGTTCCCGAGCTAGCGGTTTTCGCGCCAAGAACCCTCATGGGGCCGTACGCAAGAAACGCGCACACCTGGGGGCTGAATTTAAAATCTTTGAGTTCTAAATGGACGGCGAACATAATCCCAAAGTTTCAGCTTTCTGGTTTCTCTGGTTCTCAAGTTAGCGATTTTCCCGCCAAAACTTTGAGGCGCTCGTACGCAAAGCATGGATGTGCTTGAGGATTGGTACCGCGGTGCTGGGGTGGCACTTGCCCGGGGAACCCACTCGCAAAAGTTTGGCGCCGGAGCTTGCTTGGGCGCCGAGTTGAAATACCCGGGCAGACGCGCGCGCGCACGCACGCACACACATACACACACACACACACCAAGAAGATGCTGCCCCCTACCCTTCTCTCCTTTTTTATGTGTTTTTGCATATAAGCAAAAACGCATAAAAAAGGAGAGAAGGGTGGGGGGCAGCATCTTCTTTTGTTGAAGACGAAAGTGCATGAGGACAGTGCCGCGCGGGAGGAATTGAAGCATAAAAAAGAAGTAAGCATCCACATGTTTGTCAAAAGAAAGCTAGAAAAATACAAATTTTGTACAGTTATTGCGAAATCGAGATTTAGCTGTCTCGACAACGAGAAGTAATTAAAAAACGTTTTTTACAAAGAGTCTCATTTACATATTAACGCTTGTTCGCAAAAGCCTTGGCATGCTATAATTAGTAAACGACGGAAATGCAGCAGCAAAAAGAGAAGCGCCCTTTTCGCAATCCGTAGTGGCTGTATCTACAACGTTGTGATAAGTAACAGAATGTCGAAAAGATGCATTTTCTCTAGAAGTGTGGTCGACACAGTTCAAATCAAGTTTAATCTATATGTCGATAGTGCAAGTGCACTTTCTTCCCTTGGAATTGTGTGTGTTGGCGCCAGGAATATGAGTCAGCGGGGGGTGGCTGTTCACATTTCTTGGTGGGCATAGGACTCCCGCCACAATGCTAGTGCCCAACGGTAAAGAGGTCGCACTGCCTGGTAGCACCAGTGAGCAGGCTGTCGGCCGATTTATTATGCGTTTTTGCTGTGCAGCGCTATAGCAGCGCTGCTACAGCCAGCAAAAACGCATATTGTCGAAAGGCTGTCTGTGTGTGTGTCAGGCTGGAACGCACCAGCGAGCGCCAAGGCTGGAACGT